GGGTCAGCAATGACGGAGCACAGACAAAAAAAAAAAAAAGCCTCCCTATGTTCTGTTTGCATACACCGCTGCATACGAAGCCAGGGAGAAAAAGGATTCTTATTACTCCATATCAGTTATACCCTATATACTGAAAATACTGTAATCCTGCAGATACAAGGTCATGCTCTTAAATTGCACTCTACCTGCAGAAGAAGAATGCTAAGACCTCCATTACCTGGCATGTGTGGCTACTACCTACTTATAATTCACATGATGTTGTTGGTGCGTATTTGAAAAAGTTGACCATATCCCATTCATCATTATTGCAATCTCCTCCCTTTGTTGTCTTATGTCTTAAATACTTGCTTGCAATTCTATACACTTGGAAATAAGCCCAACTGGGTTTGATGTATTTATAGAAAGGATTGCAGCACTAAGTATTTTTATCAAAATCAGAAAACAAAGATGGAGTTCAAATAAGAGATGTTAACAACACCTTTGTTCTTTACATACAGTATAAATATTCTTGGTGGCAATAAAGATGACATTTTCATTGTTTTAAACTGGAAATCCAGTCCAGGTTTGGTAACACTGTTCAACTATTGGCAGTCATCATTTTAAGGATGTCGGCAGAATATCATAAAACTTAACTACCAGCCCAGTAAATGACATACCTATTTAACTGGAACAGCTGTAATAAAGAAGAGTTCATAGAGTCTCTTGACTTTAAATAAAGAGTTAAAAGACAACTTTGACTGTCTGCAAATCAATTCTAAGTAGATAATGAGTGGGTTTTGGCTTCCTATGTGTAGCTTTCACACTCTAGGTTGACTGTTAAACCAACAATTAATAGACTGATTGACAGATACTTACAATCCCACACATTCAGGCTTAAGGGACCGCTAACATGATTTACAGCAGGTTCCTCTAACAGGTGCCCTCCAGATGTCATGTAATTCTTATTATTCCCAGCCAACATAACTAGCACAGCTATGCATTTTGGGAAGGATGAGAGTTCCAGCAACACATATGTTGAGGAAGGTCATCTTACAACATACATTTATCAAACACTACATAAGAATACTACCAATCCCATGTCATCTGAAAAGAGAGGATGTCAAGCCAGGATTTAGGGATAACCACCACTCTGAATAATCATTCTGATCCATTCATCTTGTGACCAGAACTAATGTCGCAGTGGGTCATCTAGCAACGAACTTGCTGAGAATTCTGCAAAATTCCTTCGGCTATTATACATTTGGAATCCATGCTTCCTTCTAATTAGCATTTGATGGCATCTTAATGTTTTATCTGCAGAAAACTTCCCATTAGAATTAGTCATCCAGAAGTGTATATCATTGTCCAGATATGTAGACCTAATCATGGCATTTTGGCATTTCCTGGAATTTTTTATCTTTTTCTCCAATACTACTTTTAGCTAAGAAAAAACAGAGGTGAAGGGTGGGAGACTTTGCAGAATAGAATTCTATGTGGTAGAAGAAGAAAAGAAATCAATTTATGATGCAATCACAGGTGTGTAAGTACACTAGGGATCCTAACCAGTTTTTCCTATACATCCCAACATTCTTGTAGTGTACTCTTGTGTGATGGGAAGCAATGACTCCTAACTGTATGTATGAAATTAATAGAAGAATGTGAAAAACAGAAGAGGTTTCTCAAAATATGAATTACCTGATTTATCTTTTGATACAGAAAAATCAGTTTGTACGACTAGCCATCATCTACATCTGTAACAGAATTTTCATATCACTTAGTTTTGCAAGGAAAAGAACAAAGGAGCATTGGGAACTTTTAATTATCAGTTTTAATGGCAATAAAAGACATTTTTAAAAATATGTATTTGCTGCACTCCAGCACATGTATTTTATATGCAGTACCTTTAAATTATTATGAAGATGACTGATATACTTAAGAATTTTTGTAGATTATTCCATTAATATTTACTCTATGTGTTCTGAATATTTTGTTCAGTCTTCCTTAACAAAAGTATCACATTTCCCTAGTAATTAAATCACAATATTGGTTAATGGCAAAATTGGACATTCCTGTGATGTAGCTCAATGATGAATTACAGCTTTCCAGCCTGAGTAAGAGTTTATCAAATAGTTCAGTTATTAAAAGTTATTGAGTAGTGTTGTAAAGTCCTCTGTTGTAAAACTCCACTACAAGGGAAGTTTTCCAGACATATGCATCACACACAGCATTATTATGCTATCATGTAAGCCTTTTTCGGGTTGTTATATTTTTATTCTCTTATCAGCATTATATGACAATTATTTTCTCGTTTCTAGAAAACTGTCCATGTTTATTATATGGGCTTGATAGTCAATCCCTGTTTTTGGTAAGGATTAGGGCTAAGCAAATCCTTTCAAAGGATTTTGTGCAGAGGTGCATACAAGCACATCTCTTTGAAACATTAAAGCAGCCATATTCAAGTTGGCAGAACTGCTTCATTAACTGAATGTAGAGACAAGCAGGAGCAGATTAAGAAGGAACTGTGCAAGTGTGGAAAAAGATGCAGCTGCTTTAATGTTCTTAAGAAAGGAGTTTTATGTACACATCTCCTTGTGCAGTGCACAGCCCTTCTTTCAAAGGATTTGCACAGCTGTAGTAGTGATCAGAATCCATACCTGCCCACAGAGGCAATTACTGTAAGTATATTCATTCTGTATCTGTTGCTGAGTTCAGATGTAAGAATGATGATACATAAACAAATATACATCTTTCCTCAAAGCCATGACACTGAGTTTAGCAGCCTATAGTGAGTTGAAAGATTCATCCAAGATTTTTACTGATAATTTCATCAGTAAAATATACAATGATGTGCCTTAGAAGGAGAACATTGACAGCTTATGATGCTTTGCAAAATTGCAATCCAATTACCAGTCACCCAGAACAGTCTTCTTCTGTACATATTGTAATTGGCTAGTGGGCATTTCTCCAACTCTCCCCATTGCCTTGAAAGAGTAGCGTCCTAGGCACTTAGCATCTAGTATTGCCATCAGGTACTTCATGTCCTAGGACCATGCTGTTCCAGTATTCAAGGGATCAGGGAGAGAGGCAATCTACTTCTCCAGGGTACGCAGTGGGTATAAACAAAATATTCTGGCCTAAGATCAGAATGAATCAGTAATTCTTCATCCTCGATGCAGATTTCCTTTTCTACTAGTGTAGATAAGTATCCCAACATCTCATTATTCAGGGTAATGTCAATTCATGAAACGTACAGTAGATGTGAATATCTGTTTCCAAAAGAGGAGAGCAAATCTTTTATTGCCTGAATTTTCATTGCTCTCAGTCCACTTCACCATATGCACAGAATATAGTTCTGATTGATGAAAGCTTAATGGATAACAAACGTATCAGTCTTTAAGCTAGAACAAGACATTTTACTTTTGCCAAGATATATGTACAAACTCTTGGGTGGGCTGCTGAAACTGCTTCCCTCCAAATTAGACATGGTCTAGTGTGTAACAGTAGTAAAGGGAACTTCTGAACCAGATATGCATAACCCAAATGAGTATTTTCATGTCAAAAGAGAAACGGTTAAGGAGTTCAAATCTATTTTCAATTTCAAAACTTCATCATTCATTTCAGAGGCAGCAAAAAAATTGTCAGTTTCACTGAGGTTCTTTGTAGCCTTTGTAGGCAAATAGGATAAGGAGCAATCAGTAGTAAATTCAAGGTGGGATAGGCTAGCCATTGCCCCAACATGCAAATGGGAAAATTCAGCTTTGGGGAAGTACAAATTCATGTTAGTGCAAAAGTCATTAGGACTTTTTGAAAATTCACACCACAGAGTTTCCATGGAAATCTGACATAAAAATGGACAAGAGAAAACTCCACAGTGACTTGAAACATGTTTCCTACATATTATTTGTATTTTTCAATTGAAAAGTACATCTAGGAGTAAACTGGGGAGCACTTTCTCTTGTATCTATTATTCACAGCAACCAAAGAAAAGCCACACATCAGCCAGGTATAACTCTATGAAGTGAAACCTACACTTGCTGAAGCTCCTGAATGGGTAATGTGAGAACAAAAGAAAATGCAGTGTTTTTCTTTTCCCCTAACATTTTATAAATGGTTTTGTAGCCCATACAGAGAAGACAAGAAAAAGAGTCATAAATATACTCTGATTTATGATATTTTGGTTCTCCAATGGATTAGTAGAAATTCATTTTTAATTTTTTGGTATTTTTATTTTTCTTGCCTTGAATGATGGAGAGACAAAGGGGAAATGACACAACTTGCAATCTTGCATCTTGGAACAATGATGTCATGACATGTATGTTACCATTTTGAATTCCATCATGGTTTATTATGGATGCCTATGAGTTGCATCATATTATTGTCCTGATCAATCATACCAGCTGTCACAGTCTTCGCAGCGACACAAGAATGTCAATTCATACTAAAATTTGGAAGGCTGGCTGCACAGTGAAACAATCACATGCCTATTCTGTCACTGTCCTCATCAGGGATTAGTTTAATTAATATGTTACATCCAATCAGCTGTATTTTACCCCAAAGGACCATTAAATGATCTTGAGCAAATAGTATCTGGATTTCCTGATAATGCACATTGAAATGGATTATTATAATAATTATATTTAACATTTAATTTAAATATATATTTGGATTAGATTCTATGGCCTATATTCATTCAGTTATTTTTATTTATTTACTATTTTTGTAACCCACCCTAATCTAAAGACTCTGGGTATAGGCAACAATGTAGAAACATAAAAGCAATTCTGCTTTTCTATGAATATTTTTAAAAAGTTTGTTTTAGTATTCACTGTGTTTTCATTAAGAAACTGTACTAATGTAAAACTTACTAATACAAAAGATGAGATGGGATGAAGAAAAAAATCTAAGAAACTTTTACCTATTTGTTTTCTGTACTGATCAACAGGCGTTTTTGCAGAAGAAGCATCCTTTTTACCCATTTCTCTGTATTCATGAACTCTGTAATGAAAGATAAAAAATGCTTAAGAAAGTCCATGGCCATTTTAAATGCATTTGGAGGTAACCTGAGTGCTATGTTTGCAACAGAAGGCCTGATACATTAATACAACTAAATCAATCAATAATTACATAAGTACAGGGCAAAGATCATAAATAGGGCAGAATCTGGTTATGGTTATAGATGTATGATTACTACCACTTAAAATTACTTTCTTGTTTTGATTCTGATCAACAAGTCTTCATACTCTTTACTTGGATGTAAATACCACTAAATTCAATGAACTTTATCCTGTGTAGGATTAGTCCATAAATTATACTCTCACTAATTATTTATAGAATTATATTGTCAATCACATTATAATCTCAAAAAGATCTTTAAATTGTAAATTGAATGTGAGGCAAACCTATATCTAGATTGCACCCAAAGATTAATTAACAGATTTCTGCTTTATGCATGGGACTTTTCCATTTTCTTCTCTATTGCAGCTTTCTCTAGAAGATGGTTGGAAAAACTTCAGGAACAATGTAGAACAGAAGATAGGTAATGGTATCTGCTCATACTAAAGTCCCTTTGCATCCAAAACTACTATGTTTAATGCTGTACAGTATGCCATTTCACATTGTCTACTGTACCATTATCTTAAGATGCCCTCTTGGGAGAGGATGATCGGTGGCAAATATCACAGAAGTTGCTTGCCAGACTCTTTCCTCCCTTGTTGTTAAATAATATTTATTGTATTTTTATTTTCAATTGGTTAAATTGCAGTTTTGTTCATTTGGGGAGAATTGTTCATTTGAAAGGAGGAATATGAGTTTGATTGATTAGATAGATAGATAGATAGATAGATAGATAGATAGATAGATAGATAGA